ATTTGTTGACATTATTGTATTTCCTATATTTCCTTACCAGCACCTGTCACACATTAGGCATTGACTCTGTTATGTAAATCTTCAGAAGAAAAGAATGATCTCTTTGTGAATTAAATCTTTTTTTTTTACACATAAAAGATTCAGATGCTGGCTGAAACTGGTTCTCATGAAATGTTTTCTAATAACTATACTTCATAAGAGAAATTAAATTAATAAAAGAGCCGGGAATATCTACTATACGTCAGATATCTTGCTAGATGCTTTACAAGCATTATCTCATTTAAAGAACATTTAACATGTTAAAGGATGAATTATTTCTTTTACAGATTAAGAAAGTATGGTTCTAAGATATTAAGATTACCATTTGCCTTACATAACATAACATGTCTGACCTCAAATATAAACCCAAGATTTCCCTCAAAGTATAGTAGGGACTTAGAAAGGCTGCCTTTGCCAAAAGCAGACTCTTTGCATAGGCCTGCAGATGCCCATAGGTAACTGAAAGCAGGATAAAGCTTGGCATGTCTGTGTGCCTTTTTTTTAAAAAAAAAAAAAAAAAAAAACATCTTTTAGTTGTCAATGAATCTTTATTTTATTTATTTATATGTGGTGCTGAGAATCAAACCCAGTCACACATGCTGGGTAAGCGCTCTACTACTGAGCCACAACCCCAGCCCTCTGCCTTCCTTTTGTCTGTCTCCTTTATTACCTGAAACATTGGGTCAGGTCCCTGTTCAACTCTGCACGTAAACTTGTTAATCATTTATGGAATGTTCATCTAATTCTGGTAATACAAGGTTTATTAGCCCTAAATCTATCCAACCTATCTTGCCCTCCCTTCAAGACTGAGGCAAGATTTGCAGCATCCTGTTTCAGACCCCTGGAGTAACACTTAGAAGTCACTAGTCATTGCCCTACCCAGAGGAGTCACCCCAGGATGAAACTGCCTCCCTAACCAGAAGCAAATATCTCCCGGGAACTAAATTGCTCCTTTCCAGGATTACAGATCTGAATAAGCATCCTGAGCAATAAACAGAAATTACCCCCTCAAGTGATAAAGAATTCTTCAAAACCACTTCACAGAACCAGAAATGAAAAAATGATTGACTATACCACAATTTGACCAAGACTCAGCAATCTCACCCTTCCCCAATTTTTCCTCTACTTAAACCAAAAGCTTATGTAAGCACTCCAAAGACAAGGCTGGGACATATAATCTCACTTTCCTTCCTAATACAACCATATTGACTAAGGTTCTTTTCCTGCTTTTTACTATAACCTTTTCTATTTGGTTTTTGGGGTGAGTGACCAGACCTGATTTGCTGGAACCCCCCCAGTCAGGCCTCTGGCTTAGGACTCTATTAACAAAGCACAGGGTCTGTGCAGTAAGGCCTGTGGTTTAATCATGTCTAAGGATTGGCAGATAACTCACCACTATACATGAAGATGTATGCCTCTGGACTCAAACTGCCTGAGTTCAGTCTGACTCCACCATTTAATAACTATAGCACATTAAATAACAGTATGTACCTCACAGAGTAGCTATAAAGATTAAAGAATATAAATTAGATAAAGTGGTTATTATATACTATCATGCTTTACAAATATTCATTCAATACCTTTATAAGATCTACTCATGAATGCTACTAGTAATGTTTGAAATTGGTTTTTATAGCACATATGAATTTAGGAAAAAATTTCTTATATAACTTTTACAGAAAAAAAACCCAACTCAGAGTAGGTATAAAATCATAAATAGATACTTTCTTTGTGGAATGAAGTATTTCTTAGCACTTTATCTAAAGTAACCTAAAAGTTTCAGCTTAATTCTAACTTCTACTATGTTGCCTGACATACCATACCTTTTCAATCAAAATTTGTATAACTAAATATACAGCAATTTCTCTTAAACTGATTTTTTATTTCATTTGATAAGGTATCTCCAATATGGATGGTAAACAGAGTTCTGGGCAGATAATCTGCATAGAAAAGTTGAGTAACATTCTATCTTCTAAGATATTCTCACATTTACACATCAAATACTCTCAAATTTAGTACAAAAACACATTTTTTAAAAAAATAACTAAAAATACATAATAAGCGAGGCACGGTGCTGTATCTGTAGTTTCAGCTACTCGGGAGACTAAGGAAGGGAGGAACACTTAAGGTATGAGTTTGAGACCAGCCTATGAAACACAGTGAAACCACCCATCTCTAAATAAATAAATAACCACAGCACTACACTCTTCCATTAATGAGGAGAATTAAGATGAAGACACTTACTATACATCTGCTTTTGTTAAGCTACCAATTCATATTGATCTGCACTTTAATAATAAACTCATTTCCAAGAATGTTATTAACTACCAGTTTGATGTTCAAGTTATTTCTATTATAGACAATTCTATAATTTCACACACACATACACAAATGAAAAAAATCCCACAGTTAATTAAAATTAAAATAGAAACTCCTCTCTAAAAATTTCAGAAAAAGCCATGCACCACTGTATCTGCCTATATTCCAGCGGCTCTGGAGACTGAGGCAGGAGGACCTTGAGTTCAAAGCCAGCCTCAACAATTTAGGGAAGCCCTAAACAACTCAGTGAGACTCTATCTCTAAATAAAATACAAAATAGGTCTGGGGAAGTAGTTCAGCAGTCAAATGCCCCTGAGTTCAATCTCTGGTACAAAAAAAAAAAGGAAAGAGAAAAGAAACTCAAAAGTCATACTTCTTAGCTACTGAATGATAAGATTGAGCTTTCAACTGAGAGATTATTTCTATTGATTCTACTTAGTAGGAACTTAGTATGTTGAATGAAGGAATGGATTCCTTCATTCAACTTACTAAGTTCCTACTAAGTAAAAGGCACCTTTGAGGATACAAATTATATTCATTTCAAATATAACTGAAGTAGCCTAAGGAGTGTATATAAGACCTGGGGCAAATTATCTGACCTGACCTTCAATATTCATTTTTTATAAATAAGAATGGGGACTATTAAAAATTGTCCTACCTCAACAATTTACTACTAGGGTCAAATGAGGTACTAAAATGTGAAACAAAAAGGCAATCTCTTATAAGAATATTTGATTAGTAATGAAACTCTGACATAAGGTTATACCACAAAACAAGTTATCCTTATCTCCAGAATATAAAAGTTTGTTTCATTAAATATATCATTAGACATAACAAAACCTTACTAAGAGTATAAAATATCATGATACTGTGCTCAAGTACCAAAGTGCTAAAAAACTTAAAAGGTACAATTACTTTCCTTAAAGAACTTACATTCTAGTAGGGATAATAAAATTCTCAAAGAGCCACAATACAGTATAAATTTAGCAAGCATTATAAGAGTTATAAAGCCCAGCACAAAGAGAAAAAGAATATTTCAGACACATGGTTGATTTCAGAAAGCTTCATAAGGAAGAGGTGGCATATAAGGCATTAAAGAATAGAATTTTTACAAAGACCTTCCTTGTAGGAAAAGACGTTATATAAGCAAAGACCAAGGCAGGTAGGCATACAGTGTGTTCAGAAAATCCAATTCAATTAACTAACTGTAGTATGACTAAAAAATAGATTAAATGGGATAAAGTATTTTTAAAAAATAATGAAAGGGTCATATTGAGTCTTGGAAAGACTTAAATTTTAAAGGACTTTGAACCTCCCTAAATAAACAATTTATAATGGAGATAGGGGTATAGGTCAGTGGTACAGCATTTGCCTAGCATGTATAAGACACTGGGTTCTATCCACAGCACCACAGGGGGAAAAAAAGAAAAAAAGAAAGAAACTTCATTCTGGAGCCAACATAGAGTCACTGAGTACCTAAGAGAAGAATGACCAAAGAATGGCATAAGACCTTTGGATTTAAAAAGCAATTGAGGAGAGTTGGGGGTATAATTCAGTGGTAGAGCACTTGTCTAGCATGTGCAAGACCTTGGGGTTCCATTCCCAGCACCACCAACAAACCAAAGGGCAATGATGGAAAAGTGACTGGAAGGGGAACAGGCTGAAATCAGCAAGTACAGTTTAGAACCTATTGGTTCAGTGTGGAAATAAAAGAGCAAAGAGGAGCCCACTTAGCACAGCGATAGTGGGAATGAAACAGGGAAGAATTAGGGAGGAAAATCAGAATTAGAAATTCTAAACTTTTAGAAGTTATTATCCCCTTAAAAGAAACAGTGAATAAGCCTACCAAGTGAGAAACTGTATCAAATTTAATCTTTTTCTACCAAAGCCCAATACTGATAAAGACTTAACTCTGGTTCCATTTTTGCATTTAATAGAATATAATAAAAGATTCAGGCTTCTATTATAAAATAGTGACATTTAAATGGTTTACTATAAAGCAAGGCCCATCACTACATTTAATATTATTCTTCAATTCATTTGAACTAGATCTTCCTGAATTGAGAGTCCTTTTTGTTGGTTAAATTACAATGTTACTGAAAATCCTGTTCCTCAATACTCAGAACACACACACACACCCTTGTTCTGAGGGTAATTTTACACAGCCTCAGACACTCCTTGTCCACACATTAACCTTACCAATGGTAACCTTTCCATTTCTTGAAGTCCCTGTGGCTTCTTGAGCACAAAATCCTGGTCTACTGCATCCGTGCTTATCACAGGGTTACACACTGAGCGGGAGCTCAGGGGACATTCACTGAGGGAATGAGTGACCGCCAGCCTGGCCGACTAGTCACTTCTCTGCACACCTCAGGCTTACAGCACACACGGCCGTTTTCATTCGCTTGACACACCCCTCTTCTAAGGATCTTTTTCCTCCTCCACCCAGTACATTCCACACGTCGACGGTCGGAATTGCAACGTGTCACTTCATCTGCTCCCACTCCTGCTTAACTAGTACTTCAGGTCCTCGACACCTTCCACTTCACCCAGACAGACCCCACAGCTTCTGAGCTGCCCAGCCGCCCCGCAGCCGCAGTCCTCCCGGGACCCGCCCCTCCCCAGGAAAGCTCAGGCCTCACCTCCCGCGCAGCTCTGCCAGCGGCACGCACTGGGGCCTGCGGCTCAGCAACGCCGGGCGCCCAAGGCCGCCGAGCTCTAGGGGTCCGTCGCGACTGCTGACCCGCAACGCCGCCAGCTCCCGCCGCCTTCGTCGGTGCCACCTCGGTGCAGCCTAGGCGTTTCCGGGTTCCCGCGGTCCCGTCCTCCAAATGCTCCGGCTTCCGCCTCGGCCCGGGCAAACGCCGTTCCCGGCTCGGCTTTGGCGGCTCCAGCTCTGCACTTGTCAGCTTCGCGCCTAAGGAGATCGTGCCTGGGCTCCTCTGCTGGGAAACGCCGGTGCCGGTTTCCCGTCACTTGACTGCTGGGAGCACTGGCTCTTTTTAGACACCTCCTGGGGGTTCGAGTCAAACGGGATGATTTCTCCCCGTAGACCTCTGCGGGACTGACCAGCTGCAGAGTATGCCACAGTGACAATCTGCTAGAGAAAGGGCAAAGTCCTTTAGGGCAAAGGACCTTGAGAGAGAGTGGGGAGAAGGATCTCGGAAGCTGCGAACCCGCTCCTAAAAATGTCGATGACATGAAAATATTATTAGCACTGGCGCCATTTATCAACCAGTACTCTGGAAAAAAACTTGTTCAGTTGGAAATGACCCCTGCTTCCACTCTGAGACCTTAAGGCTGAGAGGAGCCCAAAACGGTGCAACCAATGAACCTTAGTGACATTAACCAGGAGATGGGGGGAAAGCGGGGAAGTGGGGAGCTTGGACTGGAAGAACTCAGTTATGAGGGATTTACCACTTCCTGGCTGCAATGATCTCATACACATTACTTTGGGGTTGGGGTGGAGGGAATGCTACATCCAAGCCCATCTATTTATTTGTTTATTTATCTATCTATTTATTATTGAGACAGTGTCTCACTAAGTTCCTCAGGCTGCCTCGAACTTGTGATCCCACTGCCTCATTTTCCGGAGTTCCACAGCAGCCTATTCTGGTGATGGACAGGCTGAAATTAATATTATGCCTTTCTAGTTAACACAATGCTGGTATAAATTAAGCTATGCCTCTTATATTGTAAATAATTTAAACTATGCTTACGGTTGGAAGGAGAGCAGAAAAATAAAGTAACTGTAAGAGTAGAATGATTGACCTTAAATTTTTGTGTAATATGATCTTGAGAAAATTTCTAGATGGTGGAATATCCCTTTTTTTTTTTTTTTTTGTGCTACTACAGATTGGACCCAGAAATGCTCTACTCCTGAACTACATCCATTTTAATTTTTTATTTGGAGACAGGGTCTCACTAAATCACCCAAGCTTACCACAAACTTACATTTTTGAGGAAGGCCTCAGCCTTCCCAGCCTTTGGGATTACAGACATGGCCACCATTCCCTGCTACAATTTTTTTAAAGTATGTGTGTGTGTATGTGTATTTTTCTTTCTTTCTTTTTTTTTTTTGCCGTGCTTGGAATCCAACCTATGGCCTTCTGCATGCTAGACAGGCACTCTGCCACTGAGCTATACCCCCAACCGATTTTTTTGAAACTATGATGTGCTTGGTATATAATAATAGCTAGGCACTATTCTATCTCTATCTCTGTACACATATACAGATATTCATTCAGAAAATAATAGGTACACAATAAATATGTGTGAATGTAGGGGGAAAGAAATATTAAAATATTTTAAATATAAACCTGCAAGAAAAAGATGTTTTATAATGTAAATACATTCTTTAGTATTGTTCCAGTTTGTTCAGAAAGCTTTAACATGATAAAAATGAGAAGTGGAAACACTTGTAATCATGAAATAGTAACATACACTTTGCCACCTTGAATAGGCATGAAAGTGAAAATGATGAAAAATCTATACAGACAACACAAGACTGGGATCCTAATTAGAATAAGATATATGCCATGTTTATATAAATATGTCATAATAAACTCTATCATCATGTGTAACTACAAAGAATAAATAAGTAAATAAACAAATCTGGTTCACACATTAAAAAGTTAAACCAAATTAACAAGATACAAAATCTAAATAATATAACTCAAAAATTAATAGCATCTGAATAAAAGCTGAATCCCACATGCCCATAAAAAAATAAATTGACATTGTCCAAAAACAACCTGCAGCTTTAAAATTTAAATTTGAGTTTCTAACCATGTAATGAATTATTGTTTGAGCACTACATTTCTATGTAATTAATATATCTCAAAATTTTAAAAATTAACCTCAAGGGGCTGGGTTGTGGCTCAGTGGTAGAGCACTTGCCCAGCATGTGTGAGACACTAGGTTCAATTCTTAGCACTGCATATAATAAAAAAATAAAAGGTCTGTCAACAACTAAAAATATATTTTTAAAAAATTGACTTCAAGTAAAGAAAATGAAATGGCTGATTTGGTTCTGAAACCAGTTAAATGATTTGTAACAAAGTAAAACATTAGCATGGCATGTTTTCCATCATCACCCATTTTCCTAACAGACAATGAAATGTAAGTGGGCAAATTTTTATTCACCAAAGTCTTGTGATCTATGGTATCAAATATAGAATATCCTTTTAACTGGATTGTTGAACACTGCCAGAGCCTATTGTACATTTCTATTTCCCTATGGTTAATCTTTTGAAATCTAAGAGATGTTCAGGCCTGCTGTGCCTAGTAGGCTACATACACTAAATGCCTCAGTGCTCCCACTGAGCCTATTTTAGATAAAGCTAAGAAGAAGAAGAAAAAGCATTTAAATGCAAGTACCTGATAGCTCATTACTGTTCCTTTTCAATTAACTTTTCTATTTTTTAAGAAGCAGAATGTAACAATACAAAAAAATGTGATCAAAACATATTCAAGAAAAAGCATATTATTTTAATAATGGATGAATAAATCAAGTGCAGTATAAAAAAAACATCTATACAGACAAAAGCAACCATGAAAATAGAATAGAAAGTAAAGAAATGAGTCCTGTCTGGTATAGGAAGCATACCTATAGTCACAGCTCCTCCGGAGACTAAGGCAGGAGGATTACTTGAGCCCAGCAATTCTAAGTCAGGAAATCCTGGCAACAGAGCAAGACCCCATCTCAAAAAAAGAGGGATGAGGGGTGGTGGTAAAGCAGTTGCCTAGCATGAGCAAGGACCTGTGTTCAATTGCCAGCATCACATACATACAGACACACACACAATGAGTCCTAAAGTTGATGACCAAAAGCAAGCATGTCATAATAAACTCCCTAGGTTTACAATTTGTGTTCTAATAATGTGGAACTATTATGTTTCCCTGTATACACCATTCATAATACCTATTCCTTTTCCTTTCCTCAAGCTTTTAACTAAATGTAGAGTATTTTTCTGCTATTTCATAGTTTTTATATGGGTTCCACTCAACTGTTGATTGTATCATCATCCCAAACTTGAAGCATTTTCTTCTTTCTCTTGTGTTTAGTTTGTTTGCTTTTTGTTTTGTTTTTGTCCTGGAGACTAAACCCAGGGGTGTTCTACCACTGAGTTACACCAACTCAGTTTGAGGGTCTCACTAAGTTGCACAGGCTGGCCTTGAACTTGTGATTTTCCTATCTTGGCCCCTTAAGTAACTGGATTATAGGAATGTGCCACTGTATCCAGTTTGAAGCATTTTCTTGCCCTCTTCCTCCAAAGAGAAGTCCAAATCACTTCTCTTTGGTCCCATAGCAAGTTGAGGCATCCTGTGAATATCTAGATAATTTTACTTACTTCACTGTAACAGAATCACAATTCTGTTTATAGTCCTCTTAAACCAACACTTTACTTGTGGTCAGTACTATCCTAATAAGTTTTGGATATTATTCACATTCAGTGTCTAACACATAGAAACTCATTATGCATATTTCCTGAACTGAACTGAACTAGTTAATAAGGATGTCAAAGATAAGCCAGGCACTACAAAAGCTCACCAGGGCAAGAATGTTAAGGGAGCCTGAAATGCAAGTCTGAACATGCAACAGCTTAAGAAAGTATCCAAGGCCTGAAGCTATTTTGATAATAACACTTCTATTAACTCCCATAATAGCAGTATGAAGTAAGCAATAATACCTGTATTTTACAGAAGAAATTGAGGTTTATAAACATGAAGAAATTTACTTAACTACACATAAATACAGAATACAGAAGGATAAGCTAGGGTTCAAACCCTTGTCTAAAGTCCATACTTTTTTTTTTTTGCTTTGTCACGCTGGGGATCAATCCGAGGGCTTTGTACAAAGTAGGCAAGTGCTCTACCACTGACTGAGTTACACCTCAGTCCCTTAAAGCCCAGTTTTAAAACACTGTCACAGGGGACAAACAAGAAATGAGTACAGTATTCAGAAAAGTTGGCAGAAGCCAAAAAAAGTAACAATAACCGTAAGAAATATAGGTGAGGGACAGTGTTGACTACTTGGGATACTGGACCAAAGAATAGCTTTGACTTATTTAGTACAAAGTTTTTTATTTTTTTGTTTTGTTTTGTTTTTGGTACTGGGGATTGAACCCAAGGGGGATTCAACCACTGAGCAACATCCCAGCCCTTTTAAAATATTTTATTTAGAGACAAGTTCTCCCTGAGAACTTGTACCTCGCTAAATTGCTGAGGCTGGCTTTGAATCGCTCTCTTAGTGACTCAGCCTCCCCAACCCCTGGGATTTTAGGCATATGTCACTGCACCAAGCTGTTTGTTTTTTGATACTGGGGATTGCATACAGGGTACTTTACAACTGCGTTATATACCCAGCCTTTTTATTTTGTTCTTTTGAGACAGGGTCTTGCTAAGTAGTTCAGGGTCTTGCTAAGTTAGTACTTTTCTAATACTTGATTAGCAAAGGTGTTGATCAGTGCCCTACCCAGAAGCTATATAAGATCCTAGACTAGTACATTTAAGTGACAACCCCTGTCATGTCCCCTCTTGCTTCACTTCATAGGAATGGAGAAGAATCTGGCTTTGCCAGCTGGGACCCTTGGAGCTAACACCTCAGGCATCCCTCGCTGTGATTAGCTGCAACAATAAAAACGGGCTTTCTCAACTGCAGTGGCCTGCAGTTTATGCAGGCCCCACCCACCTACAGAATTAAGTTTCTTCTGAAACTCTGGTTTCAAAAGGAAGCAGAGAGCTAGGGATATAGCTCAGTTGGTAGAGTGTTTGCACAAGGGCCCTGGGTTCAATTTCCAGCACCACCTT